ATTTACCGAGATGACATTTGGACAGATGGAATGGGAAGGGGGAGAGGCCGGGAATCAGGAGCTCTATTGTGGAAGTGTTCAGTTTGAGATGCCTGTTATTTATCCAAGAAGAGCTGTTCAGTAGGTGCCTGGATATATGAGTCTGGAAATCAGAGGAAAGGTCAGAACTGGATATACTTGGGAGTCATAAACATATGGCAGGTATCCAAGATCATGGGCCCGGATGAGGTCACTAGAGAGAAAAAGAGTTCTGAGGAGCAAAGGATATTGGGAAAGAGGAACTGTTGCGATAGGATAATATCAGGAGCACATGATGTCAGGAAAGCTTAGAGAAGGAAATGTTTCAGTAAAGAATAAGTAAGCAAACAAATCAAATGATAGGTGGAAAGTTGACCTGTAGGAATTTTTTAAAATGAAATTATTTGGTGGCTTTAATAAACTACATTTCAGTAGAGTGGTATTCACAAAACATTGATGGTAGTGATTACAGGGGCAAAAAGGAGACAGGTAACATGGACAACTTCAAAATTTTGTCCTGAAGATGATAAAAAAAAAAAAATCTGTAGTGCTAAAGACAACTTAGTCAGAATTTGTTTTAATCATTTATTTGTTAACATGGATGACATTAAGTGATGTTTGTATGCAGATAGAAATAACCATGGATCGGTTGTGTCCTGCATACCTCCTATTGGGGATTGAGCCTGCAACCCAAGCATGTGCCCTGACCAGGAATCAAACCAGTGACCTCTTGGTTCATGAGTTGACTCTCAACCACTGAGCCACACCAGCAAGGAATAAGACTGATATATTTTTTGAACTCCTCAGTGTCAAGCATAATTATTAGGATCAATATAGTATTACTAATATTTATTAATATGCAATCTCTAATTAGTAAATCTATCATTGCCATTTTTTTGTTGTTGTTAATCCTCCCCCAAGGATATTTTTTTCCATTGATTTTTTAGAGAGAGTGGAAGTACGGATTGGGGGGTGGGGGGGGAGAGAGAGAGAGAGAGAGAGAGAGAGATCAATTGGTTGCCTCCAACAAGAGCCCAGAGCAGGGCCAGGGATATGCAACCCTTTGGTGCCCAGGCCAGTGCTCTAACCACTGAGAAACACCAGCCAGGGCCATTTCCATTTTCTATCAGTATATTCTTATTGACATTTGCTGCAATGCCATGAAATACTGGCATTCACTGAAATGCCAATGCCATTGATTAAAAAAGTCAATCTTCATACATGACCCTAGAATTCCTACCATCTAGTCAATTAATACATCCATTAGCTGGAACCCTTTGCCTGGGAAGGTGGAGTGTTCTAAAAAATTGTGTTAATATAGCTTGTTTTTATTTATTTTAAACTGTTATACTACATATGAATAAATGGCTATCTTCTATTTGACTTATGGACATATAAACAAAAAAGAGTGGGGGAAATCCTTGTTAAAATGATTCCTTGGTTAAAATTAAAAACAAAAAAAGGAGGCCTTGACCTTAGACAGGAGAAAGGACATTTATAAATTCCATTTTAAGAGGAAGGAGGGCTGAGTACATGGGTACTACTGTAGATAGGATGGTAGATTTGGTGGTAAAATAAATAAATAAAATAAATAAATAAATAAAATAAATAAAGGAATGAAAAAATGGTAAGGGATTCCTTAAGACTTGAGAATTGATTAGATGTTGGAAATGGAAGAGAAGTAAAAAGCACTTAAAGGATTCCAGCATTATAGGTGAACGTATATGTGTGTGTGGGGGGGGGGGGCTGCTGCTGACATACCATTGATCAGTGTGTTTATTCATTCATTCATTCACTCACTCGCTCAACAAGAGGGAGCATGAACAGGACAGACACTATCCTGGTCCTCAAGGAGCTTTAGGTTGAGTTTACAATGATAGTTCTTGAAGACTCCATATTTTATGATACATTATAAGTAAATGTATGATTAATGTTCTGTGGCCATGAGTAAGAACAAGGGCTGTTGGTTGCTCCTGAGATGTGTTCTTCTCAGATAGTTTGAAATACTCTTTTTCAATGGTAAGAATTGCTTTTTATGATGACTGCATCATAGCATTTGAAGTCAGTTGATCATAAATCTTTGTCTTTAGACAGTTACAGGATAGGTTGGTGCCAGTCTATTCTTTGAAGGGCTTTCTTCTGACCTGTTACCTTTAACCTTATACATACTTACGATTATATTTTCTCTTTAGATATGCTTAAACGATTACATCTCTTCAAGTTACTATAGTATTTGAAGTTGCGATACAGTAGAGTTTAGTGATTAAGAGTATGGACTCTAAAGTTAAATTGCCCACATTTGAAGAACAACTTTACCATATACAAATCGAGTGACCTTGGGGACATTACTGAGCCTTTCTAAGCCTCAGTCTCCTCCTCTGAGGGAATAATACAAAGAACAAGATATACACACACAAATGAGTACCTGTATAAGTGATGAAATATCAATAAACTCTGTGGATTATCCAAATATCAGTTCTTGGTTTTGATATTGTGATAGTGGTATAAGATGTTAACATTGGGTGAGTCTAGAGGAAATATACATGGAATTTCTCTACATATTTCTTTACAACTTTCCATGAATGTATAGATATTTCAAAATAAAAAAGTTAGAAAACTGTGAATAGTAATAGTACCTACTTCATAGAGTTTCAGGAGGATTAAATGATTCCATATGCATATGTAAAGGGCTTAGAATAGTGCTGGTGTACATTAAGCATTATACAATATTAGCCATCATTTAAAGGTGATTTTCATATATGCTCTGATTCATTTTTGTATTTTAACTCCCTGTATGTTTCTCTTATTTAATAATTCTTGGGAGAACTATCTCTGCTATGGATATTACGTAGTAATATATATGTATATGTACTATATTTACATTTATAATTTAGTATAGTGTTGGGCATTGTTAAAGAGAAAACCACAGACCCAAAATAGAGTCATTTATGCTAAGGCCCATAACACTGAACCTAGACTTAATACTTGATCTCACTGCAGTTTCAAACTTCTCCAGGAATATAATCTTAGTCAGTCTGGAATTTTCTGGTCGGTACCCCTGAGGTAATCTGTTGCGATGGCCCTCTCCATCCACTCCCCCACGTACACACCCCCACACACAAACACACAAAGTAAGCTGAATCAATTTGCCTGATAAGACCTCAACCTTTCCCTAAGGCAGCGGTTCTAAATCTATGGGTCTCGACCCCTTTGGGGGTCGAACGACCCTTTCACAGGGGTTGCCTAAGACCATCGGAAAACACATACATAATTACATATTGTTTTTGTGATTAATCACTATGCTTTAATTATGTTCAATTTGTAACAATGAAAATACATCCTGCATATCAGATATTTACATTACGATTCATAACAGTAGCAAAATTATAGTTATGAAGTAGCAACAAAAATAATTTTATGGTTGGGGGTCACCAACCATAAAGCATTAGGAAGGCTGAGAACCACTGCCCTAAGGGAAGGTAACCTTGCCTGAAACAATCCTTTCTTTCCTTGTTAATAACTTTCTTGCCCCTCCCCCTTTCCGACTATAAAAGCCTTCCTTATTGTACAGCTTCTCAGAGCTTTCTACTTGCTAGCTGGGAAGCTACCCAATTTATAAATCGCCCAACAAAGCCAATTAGATCTTCAAATTTACTGGAAAGAATTTTTGTTCTTTAAGCACCCAACTTCCTACAAATGTTCCTTTAACATTCTCCTAATGTTAACATCTTAGTAATCATGGTACATTTTTCAAAACTATTAACTAAACTATAGACTTTATTTGATTTCACCAATTTTCTTTTGTTTTCTCCCCACTAACATCTTTCTCTGTTCCAGAATTCAGTCCAGGAAACCACATGACATTAAGTTGTCCTGTCTTCTTAGTCTCTTTCTATGTGCAACAATGCTCACTCTTTTCCTTGGTTTTTATGATCTTGTTAATTTTTAATAGTACCAGTCAGGTATTTTATAGAATATCCTTCAACTTAGGTTTTTCTGATATTTTCTCATGATTAGAGTATGATTATGGATTTGGGGAAGAATCCCACAGAGGTGAAGTGCCATTGTCATTGTATCATATCATAACATACTTACACCCACATGACTTATCACTGATGGTATTAACCTTGATTGGTTAAGGTGATATATTCCAGATTTCTCCACTGTAAAGTTATGACTTTTTCTTTCCAGACCTTCTTTCTTTTCTATACTTTGAAAGCAAGTTACTAAGTCTAGCCCACACCCAAAGTACAGGAAATTATGCCCTACCTCCTGGGGCAAAAGTATCTAAATACAGTGGGGCCTTGACTTACGAGTTTAATTCCTTCCAAGACCGAGCTCATTAAGGAGCTCGTTAACTCAAATTACTCTATCAACTCAATGCAAAAAATCGGCTGAGAGACAGCTGGTATCTCAAAAAACTCGTTAGTCGGGACACTCGTAAGTCAAGGCCCCACTGTATATTATTTGCAATTTCTTGCAAAAAAAGATTTGTCCCTCATCCACAATGTATTTAGTTATTCAATCATTTATTTATATCAATATGGATGTTATTTTATTCTTTGAATTATAAATCAATATTATTATAATTTATTTTGTTGCTCAAATTGTTTCAGTCATTGTGTGCCTTAGTCTTTGGGAGTTCTTTTAGGTTAACTCCTATGCCTTTTTGAATATTTTTTATTTTTAACCATTCTTTGGAAGCATAATAAATGATGAAATATACAAAAATATGTTATCTATAAATTAAACACATTGACATCCTCTAGAACCTTCATTTGTGTGGGCAGGTAATTTTATGGAATTCTACAGAAAAGCTTCCTTATATCATTTGAAATTTTGTTAAAGCATAGGGTTCCTTGAAAATTTTCACATATTGTTCCACTACAAAAAAAGAACTTGAAAACAACTGATAGAACATTGGGTGTTCCCTATGCTTTTCACCCTCTGCTTCTTACTAAAGTGAGAAACCTGTTAAAAGAATCCTTTCATGATTTTATTTTCCTATGAAAAATAATAGTACAGTAAATAGATCTGCTTGGTTGAGAGGAGAGGAAGGGCCTCATGATCTTGTTATCTTATTGCTTCACAAATTCCACAATAGCATTGCCAACTGCTCTAAGAATGCCTTTCTGAGTATTTATCCCACAGGTTCTTACAGAGGCTTTCCTGAGCCATCAGGCATTCATGAACATGACTATACTGGCAGTCAGGTGATTTTCTGGAAAGAAATGCAAATGCAGTGAAGATCTTTGTATCATCTATAAGTAGGTCAGAAAGAAGTCAGGAAGCTGAGCTGGAAGAGGAACAAATGATTTTATTGAGAAACCTACACAATTAGTGGATTTTTAATTTTAAAATACTTTTAAAAATATAACTGTAGAATATAGCCATATAAAGTGCCTACTTTGCACTAAGCACTAGAACACTTTCACATTTTTTTAAATATATTTTATTGATTTTTTACAGAGAGGAAGGGAGATAGATAGAGAGTTAGAAACATCGATCAGCTGCCTCCTGCACATCTCCCACTGGGGATGTGCCCGCAACCAAGATACATGCCCTTGACTGGAATCGAACCTGGGACCTTTCAGTCCGCAGGCCAACGCTCTATCCACTGAGCCAAACCGGTTTCGGCCACTTTCACATTTAATTCTTATGAACTTAGAGGTTAAGTCTTTACACAAGGTCATATTTTAGGATTTCCGTGGCAAGTGATGGAAAATCCAAAACTGCAGTGGCACGTACAGAGTTTATTCCTTTCTTGTGTAAAAGTCTGTGGGGTGAGCTGTTACAGTGCTTCAAGGTATGCATGGCCTTGACCTCCTGGGCCAAATGGAAGCACATGTGCTCTAAATAGGAGGAAGGAAGAAGAGGTCAAAGAAGGTACGCATGCTGCTCTTTAGGAAGATTCTCAGAAGCTTCCCTATGACACTTCTGTTTACAGCCTTTGGTCAGAACTTAGACATGTACTAGTAGACATGTCTAGCTGCATAATAGACTGGAAATGTAATAGTTCTTTTTCTCAATGGCTTTGTGCCCAGCTAAGTTTTTTTATCTCTACGGAAGGGGAAGGCAGACATTGGGGATGAATGGAAGTCTCTGCAGTAGTCATAAGGGTAAGGATAGGGTTTGAACTCAGATATGTCTTATCCTCGTGTTCTTCCTAAACCAGATCTTTTCGTGGAGAAAAGTCTAGAAAATGTGTTGAATTGGCCCCACTTTTTGCATTACGAAGTTAACGGAAAGAAAGGAACATGCATGTGACAGGATAAAAAGAAGCTGAAGAATCATAAAGTGGGCTTTCAAGCTTCCTTTACATGGATAAAGAATAATCTTCATAAGTATTTGATCCTCCTGAAAAGAAAGGACAGTACTTTTGAGGACCACCTCTCCATAATCCTAGACCAGACCAGTGCTGTCCAATACAGCAGCCACTAGCCAGCTACATGTGGCTACTGAGCCCTTGAAATATGACTAGTTAGAATTAAGCTGTACCATAAGTTTAAAACACATCCTGAATTTCTAAGACTTAGTACAAAGAATGAAATATATCTCAATAATACTTATATTAATGACATGTTGAGATAACATAAAATATATTACTAAATTAATTTCACATATTTGTTTTTACTTCTTAAACATAGCTACTAGATTTAAAATTACATGTGTGACTTGCATTGTGGATTATGCTTATTTCTATTGGAAATCAATTTTTCTAGAAGACAAAAGATTGTCCTACAGTTTTTCAGACTGCTCATAGGATCTCTGAGAAAGTTTTCTCCAATGATTTTTACAAGAGTAATATAGCAAATTTGGCTCAAATAAATGACCCCAGGTTCTTTCTGGGGTCTCTCTCCCAACTTCTATGAAGTGTGAATGATTGACTATCCCCTTGGTAACTAGTATGGATTGACTGCAACACTTGGCTTGTACTGAGCGTTGCTAGCCCATGCTTCTGAGGCATATGACCATTGACTGTTCTTACTAGAAGGATGAAATGGTTTATTGAGATTACATTTTTCTAAATTCTCACCCCAGGACATGCTTTTTGTAAATTGATTTTAGAGAGGGGGGAAAGGAGAGGGGAGGGAAGAGAGAGAGAGTGAGAGAAACATTGATTGGTTGCATCCCGCACACACCCTGACTGTGGGGATCAAACTCGCAACCCGGGTACGTGTCCTTACTGGAATTGAATCTATGATCTTTTGGTGCATGGGATGAGACTCGAACCAACTGAGCCACACTGGCCGGGGCTTGAGATTACTTTTTGAAAGTACCTCTCGGGTTTATTCACATCCACAAAGGGAAATACTCCTGGGCTGGACTCAGTAATAACAGCTAGTCAGTGTAGCCTACTGGAAGAACCTCATGATTTCTCAAAGATCACTGAAATCGAGTCCTCAAGCATATTTGCAAGTTCTGTAGTAATTTAGTAAGTTTCTGGCCAGCTCAGAAATACTGAATTAATTAAAGCAATTAGATGCTCTCTAGTTATTCCCTTATCTATCTTTAGCTTTAGGTTCCCTTTAGCAGTGATTGATTACAGTTTCAATTTGAAAGTTTGTTCTCTATGTAGAAAAAGGAAGGAAGATTTAAGGAGTTTTGGATTTTTTGGTCCATTAATATTTATTATGTACTGTCAGCAGCTAGTATATCTCTTCCTTGTTTTTCTATTCTGAATATATTATATATACACATGCATATACACATTTACATAAATATAGTATCTTCTTACTCTGAATATTACATATATAGAGAACCAATTTTGATGTGCTAGCATTTTCATCAAATTTCATCTCATTTCAGATTTCAAATATTCTATCTGTCCATGCTACCATTGAAATAATATTTTATTAACCTCACATTATTTAGTTCCTGCATTGCTTGCTTGAACTATTTGCAAATTACACTAAAATCAATGAAAATAGTGCATAACCTATAGATTTTAAAATATATCTTTGAAAAAGGATTTTATAAAGCTTTTTTGTTTAACAAATACTGTCCTTGATGGAAACAATAGAAAAAAAAGTGTATTAATGATAAAGGTGAGTAAAAGGAAATGGTACAAGTGAGGAGAGAGAGTTGCTTACTCAGGGTGGATTCGTTTATTTTTTAAAAGTGGCAAAGTGGTTGGTTTTAGGTATCTTAAGATATTTAATTTTTGCAGAGTAGACCACTATTGCTTTGTTGACCTTTCTTCTGGGGACATTCTGGAAATTTGTCTGCCTCACACTTCAACCTGGTGGTTCTGGTGGGAACAGCCACCGTAGAACCCAAACCAATGACATGATGCAGGTAAAAAAATGAGAGTTTTCCCCCAAAGCTTTCCTAACTGGACTTAAGGGAAGAGTCAGGTCTTCTTTAAAGAAGGCAAACCTGAAAAGGGTATGCCTCTCCATTGTTGGGTTTGATAGCATACCACTGACATGCAAAGAGGAACAGATGCATAGCATGGGCAGAGAACTCTGAGAGTGTTTGGGCATCTGATTTCATTAATATCTAAAGCAAAGATTCATCCTACCATTAATGACAATTTAGTATGTAAACCAATATAGTCCCCTTTGCCTAAGTGAATGGGTTGTTTTTCTGTCACTTGACAACCGAAAGAGTCCTAGCTAATACATTATCCTTTGGGTATCTGGCCACCAGTGAATCTTAACTCTGGTAGTCACACCTTGTGTAGTATCCTCATCTTATCTAATAAAAGAGAAACATGCAAATTGACTGAACCTCCACTACAGCAACAAGCCACGCCCACAAGCCAATCAGGAGTGAGTATGCAAATAAACCCAACCAAGATGGCGGCAGCCACGGAGCTGGAGCGAACAGGAGGCTTGGGTTGCCCCTGGCGATGGAGGAAGCCAAGCTTTCTGCCTGCCCTGGCCGCTGTGGGCTCCGCTCAAGGCTACAAAGTTTCAATTATAGAAGATAAATAAATCCCAGATACCTGCTTCCAGCTGCTGTGGCCTCCGCTCAAGGAGAGTCTGGGAGCCTGGGTTGCCCAAAGCTGTGGCCAGCCGGCTAACAGCCCTCAGCCCCTCAACCAGGCTGGCCACACCATCATGGGGTGAGGGTCCCCGCTGGGGGGCTTGGCCAGCCTGCAAACAGCCCTCAGCCTCTCACCCAGGCCGGCCAGGCACCCCCAGCGAGGACCCTTACACCATGGGGGCGTGGCCGGCCAGCAAACCACCACAGGCCCCTCGCCCAGGCTACTCCACTCCCCAAGGGAACCCCCACCCTAATCCAGGACACCCTTCAGGGCAAACCAGCCAGCCCCCACCTGTGCACCAGGCCTCTATCTATACTAATAAAAGGGTAATATTCTAATTAGACTGGGAGACCTTCCAGGAGACCTTCCGGATGTTCTTCTGGACTAAGCCATGGTGGCAGGGCCGAGGTAGAGGCAGTTAGAGGCCAAGAGGGGAGGGCAGTTGTGGGTGATCAGGCTGGTGGGGGGCGGGGCCATTGGGGGTAAGCAGACCAGCAGGGGGGCCAGTTGGGGGCAAGAAGGCCATCAGTGGGGGTCAGTTGGAGGTTATCAGGACAGCAGGGGGGCGGGGCAGTTTGGAGTGAGCAGGCCAGCAGGGGGGCAGTTGGGGGCGAGCAGGCCAGTGGGGAGGGAAAGAGGGGGCAAGCAGGCCAGCAGGGGGAACAGTTGGGGGTTATCAGGCTGGTGGGGGGCATTTAGGGGCAAGCAGGCTGGCGGCGGGGGGCAGTTGGGGGCAAGTAGGCTGGCAGGCAAAGTGGTTAGGGGTAATCAAGCAGGCAGGCAGGCAGGTGAGCGTTAGGAGCCAGCAGTCCCGGATTGGGAGAGGGATGTCCGACTGCCAGTTTAGGCCCGATCCCTGTAAACCGGCAGTAGGACATCCTTCGAGGGGTCCCAGATTGGAGAGGGTGCAGGCCGGGCTGAGGAACACCCCCTCCCCCCCATGCATGAATTTCGTGCACCGAGCCACTAGTAGATTAAATAAAGATATGGTCCATAAAGTCTGTGGAAGTGATGGGTGTGACTCTGTAACTAGGCCATAGAAAGTCTATCTTGTCTCTTATATTGCTTGCAGAGGAAGAAGCCAGCTCCCATGTTGTAAGAACACTCAAGTAGTCTCCAGATGAGTCCCACTTGGAGAGGAACTAAGGCCACTTGCCAACAGCCAGTGCCAACTTGTCACCACATGAGTAAGCCACCTTGAAAACAGATCCTCCAGCTTCAGAAAAGCCTACAGATGACTGCAACTTCATGAGAGGCCTGATTTAGTAATACCTGCCAGGCCACCCCCAAATCCTGGGCTCAAAGAAACTGTCAGATAATGAATGTTTATAGTTGTTTCAAGTCACTGGTTTGGGAGCATTTGTTACCCAAAGGAAATATGTTATTTATGTAACAACAGGTAACCCATACAGCCTTGTAGGAACATTGAAAAGGGGGAAAAGGTGTGTGAGAAGCCTAAAATGGTGTTTTCCCAGAGAGATGGTGAGTGACTAAGTTGGCAGCAATTGATACTCAGTATTCCTATCTCCTATCTGTTTTGCATGCTTACCTGGGTTATATATATATTATTACTAACCATCACAGAAGCTGATAGCCCAATATAAAAGTAAGATAGCAAATCAATTCACTTGAATTCCACTTCATAACAAAGAATAATCTATTAGTTTAAATTAGATTCTATATTGACGCTTACTTAAACATATTAAATCCCAGATATTATTACTCATAGAAAAATAAATATTAACTTGTTGTAGACATTTAAATACATCTTTCCTAGTAGTTAATACATTAAACATAAGACTTTCTCTCAGATAAGTGAGCGATTGAGGATTTCCGATATTATCATCTAAAGACAACTCTATTACATTTTCTAACTGAATTCTCTATTTGAATATTGGAGATTAAACTTGATGTAGAATAATACATGAATACAATACATATTTTTTGATGTGGTACTTTTAACCTTGTTAAATATCATTAAATGTTTACTATTTTTTCTGCTGTTATTCTCCAAGTTTTCTAGTTTTGATAATTATTACATACTTCTAATGAAGTCAGTTCAACTCCTTACTCAAATGATAACTCAGCAAATCATTGCAGGTGGCTCTGCCTTTGGTCTCGATGTGAGGCAGAGGGCTGAAAACCAGCAGATACATGTTTGTTCATGGCCCCAGAGGTAACTGTGGTATGACTTCATGTACCTTCTCTGCACTTGATTTCCCTCAACTATAAATAAGTGCCTTGAACAAGCACAGTCCTAAAATTCTACCGAATTGGGAAAATCACTGAATATTGAGTCTTCAGTTATCTACCTTGTAAACTGTCCGGTCAGAAAAATCACCAACATTTGTACATGTAAGGTAATAGATTTATAATTGCATTCATGTTCTTGATATCTACAATTTTGTTTTGTATGATGATTTCACTGTTGGAAAGATTTGGAAAATGGAACATTATCCATAGGTAAACTTAATGTTTTAAAATGCTGTTAAGAAGAAGTATATAAAGCCAGGAATGGGTCCATAATTATAAAAATGACAATACATTATATTTGAAAAACTCTATTTTTCAAGAAATTATGACTTAAAATACAACTGAGTTACATGTTAGATAATATGTGTGAATAATCTACACATATTATCCACAATAATCTTTTCCTTATGCTCTTCCTAATTCTTTGAGTATACAATGAAAAAGTTCTGGAATGCTAAATTGTCCCAATACTATAGCTTCAGATCTATAATATTATATATATATATTTCTATAGCACACACTGTATATAACTCTCAAGTTAGCCAGAACTTTATTTATGAAGATGCTAAAAAATATTTACCTAAACCAGCAATGACAGGTGAAATCAAGACCAGTAGAGGTTTACTGTTCAGTACTTGATGTGACAGGAACCAACACTTACCTAGTTTCAAGATGCCAGTGCATTGCATTATATGCTCCATTTCTTTTTTTTTAAATATATTTTTATTGATTTCAGAGAGGAAGGAAGAGGGAGAGTTAGAAACATCAATGATGAGAGAGAATCACCGATTGGCTGCCTCCTGCACACCCCCCACTGGGGACCGAGCCCGCAACCCGGGCATGTGCCCTTGACCAGAACCGAACCTGGGACCCTTCAGTCCGCAGGCCGACGCTCTATCCACCTAGCCAAACCGGCTAGGGCTATGCTCCATTTCATTAGAGCCACACAGCAAACCTACCAAAGAACTGCCACCATCCCCATTTTCAAAACCAAGAAAGAAAGGCAAAACAAAAATAATTATGCATTTTGACATATCAAGAGAGAGGAGGAACTGAGAATTGAACATATAGCTCTACAAATATCGTTCAACCCTTTTGATAAGCTATGGAATCTTTTCTTAAGGCAGACATTTCTGGGCCTGTGAAAAATAGAAAACAGGTAAATTCCTGGATGCACTGGTTGAGCAGCTGGTTTTGCTGCTTCCTTGGTCTTCCTGCCTGTGCCCCCGCTGCCGTATTACACCCTCAATTTGAAAACTGCTGGATTATGCCCTTATGCCTTGTCATTCTAGTGTTTTTTTAATTGACAATATTCAGTGTCGATTCAGTACAGCTATTTAGTGTACCAAACTATTCTCTAGTAACAATAATATTTGACAAACCAGAGCAATACACTTATGTAAGATGATATTTGTCGAACTTTAGATATTATTATATAAGGTAGCTAAGATGAGGAGGAGGAGTATGCTAGGACTTACTCTATATAAAACCGGTGCATTTAGTTTCAACATTAAATAATAGCGTATGTGCAGGCCTTTTAAGGCACTGAGCCAGTTGTATTGCTCTCTCCTGAAAAGCACCAGAGAGGTTATTTTATAGGTGTGTTACAGGTGTGTTAGCCTTGTATTTTTGCCATGTAGCCCTGCTAACTCAACAGAGATTGACATGACCTGAAGACTCATGGCCTATGATGACGCCTGGCAGGGAGGAGTGCCCGTGCTTCCATCTTACAGAGTTAGAGTGTGAAACATCCAGGGAGAGTCAGCATTGAGGAAATGCAGAAGTAGGGAGAAGGAAGACAGGAAACAGAAGCCATGAGTAAGCAAAGCTATGAGGCAGAGAGAAAGTGAGTAGTCAGTAGCAAGAGTTGGAAAAATAAGCAGGTAGAGGGAAACAGAGACAGGACAGCTGACTCATGTGCATGGCAAGAAGCCCAGGGCTCCTATGAAGTCACCAAAGGGTAGCTTATCCTTCTAGACTGGAGCTATTACTCAGTTGTTGCTGAGCAGCTATAATGAAAAGCTAGTGTTCCACGTGCCTGCCAATGACAACTTTATCTATCTTTTCTTTTCTTTTTTTAAAGGAATTAGTTATTTTTTTCAATATATTTTATTGATTTTTTACAGAGAGGAAGGGAGAGGGATAGAGAGTTAGAAACATTGATCAGCTGCCTCCTGCACACCTCCTACTGGGGATGTGCCCGCAACCAAGGTACATGCCCTTGACCGGAATCGAACCTGGGACCTTTCAGTCCGCAGGCTGACGCTCTTTATCTATCTTTTCTACTTCCCCATATCATATCCTTTTTAATAAACCTAAATTAATTGAGCCAAATGATATCTCTGTTCTTTGCACCCTGAAAGAATCTAATTAACACAATACTGAAAGCTTGCACAGCGCCTGGAACTTAAGAAGAGCGCCTTATATCACAGCTATTATGGTTTTAAAAGAGGTCCTTTGAGCAAAAGCAAAAACTGCAGACTACCACTCAAATCCAAGCATCACAGTTTGTTTGAAAGCTTTTTTCTCTCCTGCTTTAAAGGTTTGTGGGGTTTTTTTAGTTCTAGGAGAAGGCCCAAATTGGGTAAGTTTAGGTGTGGAAATAAAACACATGTTCTAACAGTTTGGGAGGGATGGATGAATCTCTTGGGATATGAGGTTTCACAAAATATTTCAAATTATTTTTCAAATATTATAGGCTTGCAAAAACAAAATGAGTTTCTAAAAGAATTTCTCTTTTTAGCATTCAAATGGCCTTAAGGGAACAGTAATGTACATATTTCTAACCATCTTACATAACTCAGTATTATTTCCTAGGAATTGATTGACGTTAAAAAAGTTTTGAACTCAAAGGTATTTCTGGACAGTGAAACTGTCTCCTCAGAAAATAGTTGAATTAGATGTTTTCTTAAAAGGGTTTCAAAGCTTGGCTTCAAACTTTACCAAATTTTGTTCCTTTCTTTGTCTGACAAAAAAGAAGTAATCTCTAAAAAAATCTCCCTGCCAGTTGTGAACAATAAGTGTAATTTGAATTGCAGAAAATTAATGGGCAACAAAGGAGAAACCAACTATATTCTTCTAGGTGTTTAAAAAAAGGCTCTGATTAAAATTCAGTGTCACTGTCTATTCTTTTCTTTTTTAAAAATATATTTTTATTGATTTCATAGAGGAAGGGAGAGGGAGAGAGAGATAGAAACATCAATGATGAGAGAGAATCATTGATCAGTTGCTTCCTGCATGTCCCACACTTGGGATCAAGCTCGCAACCCGGGCATGTGCCCTGACCGGGAATCAAACTGTGACCTCCTGGTTCATAGACTGATGCTCAACCACTAAGCCACACAAGCTGGGTCAGTGTTATTTTCAATATAGGGTGGATAGAGTAATGGTGCCTGCCTGAGTTGTTCGCTATAAAAATATTTCTTCCATAGCAGTGAAATCTAAGCATTTTTCTTAAAAAAAAAAGATTTTATAAAAGTCAAGTGAAAAATAAAATGTTTAAAACCATCCATTGTGATTTAGTCATGCACGTTTTATCAACACAGCCCGAAGTATCACTGGTAATGCTCTCTTGAAAAGTCTCTGATTTTCTCCAATTGGCTAGTTGGCCACTCTCACTATTAGTGAGTCATATGATCTTATTCATTTCTGGCTGAAATCAGTTGACTGTGGAGCAGGAATGCCAGACACTATGAAGGGTTGCAATTCTGGATTCTTTCAGCCTAATAAGTATGTCAATTGTCTGAAAGAATGGCTATGATTTAACGGTTACATAGTCAAGAATTCTTAAAATAAGATTTTTCTTTTTCCAACCCTGGCATGACTCTGACCCTGAACAGAGTGTACTTGGGTCACTCTGGAGATGTGGCCACTGCCCAAGTGTCCCTTGGACAGATGAAACAGAGACGGAAGAGCGGTAAATGACTGGCTGTGAGTCCAGGGATGGCTCTAGCCTTTCACAGAGCTCAAGCACAGAGCTGGAGGGCAATAATAAGAGCTAGAATTTACTGAACACCTACCAAGTGTGCCATGTTTTATAAATATTATTTCTAATTCTTACACAAACCTATGAAAGCCAGCCCCCACTATGTTTTCCATTTTACAGATAAGGAAACCAGAAATCAAATAGGTGAAGTCACTTGCTCAAGAGTTCACAGATTTAAAATTACTGGACTGTACCATCTTCACAATTTTTATATAAAATTTATTTTAAAATTAAAAGATATCTTTTGTGAATGGAATACCTCAGAAGAAAATTCATTAAAAAAATAAATTTCTAAAACATAGAATCTGGAAAAAAATCACTGGACCTGAGAATAAACCCAGTTCTGTCTGTCTGTCTGTCTGTTTGTTTTTTAATTGATGGAGGTCAACATTGGTTAATAACATTATATAAATTTTAGGTGTACAACTTTATAATATGACATCTCTATTCTCTATTGTATGCTCATCATCCAAAACCTAGTCTCCTTTACCTTCTTCCTCCTCCCCTCACCCCCCTTCCCTTCTGGTAATCACCATTCTGTTGTCTATATCTATGAGTTTGCCTGTTTTTTGTTTATGTGTTCATTCTTTTGTTGTTGTTTTTTTAAACATGTTTTTATTGATTTCAGAGAGGAAGGGAGGAGAGAGAGAGAGATAGAAACATCAATGATATGAGATAATAATTGATTGGCTGCCCCCTACATGCCCCCTACTGGGGATCGAGCCTGCAACCCAGGTATATACCCTTGACCAGAATCAAACCTGGGACCCTTTAGTCCACAGGCCGACGCTCTATCCACTGAGCAAAACTGGCTAGGGCTCCTTTTTTTGCTTTTTGTTCTAGATCCCACATATGAGTGATATCATATGGTTCTTGTCCTTTTTCATCTGATTTATTTCACTTAATACTCTCAAGATCCACCCATGTTGTCACAAATGGCAATATTCCATCTTTTCATGGATGAATAGTATTCTGTTGTATATATATACACCACATCTTTTTTATTTAATTTAAATTTTTTTTAATTGATTTGGGGGGGGAGAGAGAGAGCGAGAGAGCTATCAATTCATTGTTCCACTTATTTATGCATTCATTGGATGATTCTTGTATGTGCCCTGACTGGGGATCAAACCCACAACCTTGGCATAACGGGATGATGCTCTGACCAACTGAACTACCCAACTAGGGCTGTACCACTTTTTTTAAAAACCCAAATATCTCAAAGGACACTCCAGTTGTTTCCATATTTTAGCTATTGTGAATAATGCTGCAATGAACAAAGGGATATATGTGTACACATATATATCTTTACAAGTGTTTTCAAATTTATCTTTATAATAGACCTTTACCCTTTATATTTTAAGAAAGATTCTTTATCCATTGTCCATCTCCTCCTCCTTTAACCCTTAATCTCCATTTCCAGATATAAAATGTAATCCTAATAGAATAGGAAATCTTCCACCACTTCAAGAAAATTTGTATCTCTTAGGGTGACCTACCCAGTTACAACCAGCTCATTGGCTTCTGCCCAGCTATTTAAAGCTTATTATACTCTTAGGTGGTAAAAGGGGATTTCCTGGTACCTTTCAAATTACTTTTCTATGTCCGTAACCACCCCTATTTCTGCTGAGCCACTATCCTGAGCCCATCTTCTACAGGCCATGCAACAGTGACCCTGTGCCACTCCTGCTGTTCTGCACACATGAGTCATCATCACA